GTTGTTTCTGTAGGAACTGAAGACATAGTAGGCACAGAGCTTTGCTGAGACTTGCAGTGGTTGTTTCTGTAGGAACTGAAGACATAGTAGGCACAGAGCTTTGCTGAGACTTGCAGTGGTTGTTTCTGTAGGAACTGAAGACATAGTAGGCACAGAGCTTTGCTGAGACTTGCAGTGGTTGTTTCTGTAGGAACTGAAGACATAGTAGGCACAGAGCTTTGCTGAGACTTGCAGTGGTTGTTTCTGTAGGAACTGAAGACATAGTAGGCACAGAGCTTTGCTCAACTGAAACAATTTTGTACTGCAGGAATCTGTTCTGTGAAATATTAAATTTAAATAAACTTTTCACGATTTACAACCTATATGTGTAACAACCTATGTATGTAACTGTAACAACCTTTATATGTTACAACCTATTTATGTAACTGGAACAACCTTTATATGTTAAAACCTATGTATTTTAAACATATATATGTAAAAACCTGTGTATGTAACAACCTATATATTTTACAAACTATGTTTGTAACAACCTATGTACCGGGTATGTAAAAACCTATATATGTTACAATGTATCTATGTATCAACTTACCAACCTATGTATGTAAAAACTTATGTATGTAACAATCTATATATTTTACAACCTATGTATGTACCAAGCTATGTATGTTACTACCAATGTATGCAACAACCTCTATATGTTACAAGCAAAGAGTCAAACTCAGGCACATTGTATAATACATTGTTTGGGCCAGGGGTGGAGCCTGAAAACGCCACCCTCAATATTTATACAAAAAATTGCCACCTGAAGCAGACCAGTTCAAACTATGATTTTGGCACCCCTTGTCTTTGTGAAGTACACAGGATTTCTCATTAATGATTTTCACGATTAATGCGATTGGAGCGCCCCCTGATTAGGGCCCTGGGAAGAGATTTCCCTTCGCACGGTTAGGGCCATCAATATGCCACCTTTTTTTTTTTTTTTAATGTTTAAAAAAAGGTATTGACCTACCGTACTTGTTAAATTCGTGATGCACTTTTCCCAGGAAGTTCTAACAAGTATGTTGTCACTGCGATGTGCTTTTCTCATGAAGACCGAAGCACATTGGTAGTCATTGTGATGCAACGTTCCATTGGTAGTCATTGTGATGCAACGTTCCATTGGTAGTCATTGTGATGCAACGTTCCCATGGAGGTCCACCACGTATGTAGGTAGTCATTGTGATGCAACGTTCCCATGGAGGTCCACCACGTATGTAGGTAGTCATTGTGATGCAACGTTCCCATGGAGGTCCACCACGTATGTAGGTAGTCATTGTGATGCAACGTTCCCATGGAGGTCCACCACGTATGTAGGTAGTCATTGTGATGCAACGTTCCCATGGAGGTCCACCACGTATGTAGGTATTCATAGTGATGCAATTTTCCCATGATGTAGAATGTAGTCCAGCATTTTACTTTCCCTGATGAATCAATTAAGCGTTGGTCTATCTTACATTTCAATTGAGGAAAAAAATAGTTGAATCAATCCAGGGAAGGTTTTGGTATCTTTTCATTTAATCCGGACTATTTTTTATCTGTTGCCGAAGAAGCCTTTTGGCCTATGCGCTCGTTGTGTCATTAGGTATTTCTCAAGCTTTCCTCATGCTTTATGCTTATGTTCCAATGTATAGTTTGAGCCATCCATCCATCCCTGTGGTGCTACAGCCCATGCAGGGCTTTGGCCTGCCTCACCACATCCTTCCACTCAGACCTAACTGAGTTGGGAGCAAATGTGAGAAGTGATGACGGCTCATTACTTATTACTTGAAACACGATAGATGGTTAACATAGCTGTGAGGTGGAACTTGTCAACCCCTGCAAGCCACAAGATTTTTAAGGGGCCAAAGATGTGGGAAAAAATTAATGAACTGTTAGCTGTGAATGAAGGGGGGCACCAAACGGAAAAGTGGCAGGGGACCAGCAAAACGTGTCTACACAAGAGACTGGGGGAGAACTCATTGGTAATCTGGGAACACATATGATTTAATGTCAAATCATTTATTTCATGCTTTCTATTTTCTGCTTAAGAAGGCATTTGGCAGAAACATCCTTTTAACCGTTCTGTCTTTTTTCCAATACTAAACATATCTTTTAACTGTTCTGTCTTTTTTCCAATACTAAACATATCTTCTAACTGTTGTCTTTTTTCCAATACTAAACATATCTTTTAACTGTTCTGTCTTTTTTCCAATACTAAACATATCTTTTAACTGTTCTGTCTTTTTTCCAATACTAAACATATCTTCTAACTGTTCTGTCTTTTTTCCAATACTAAACATATCTTCTGTTTTGTCTTTTTTCCAATACTATACATATCTTCTAACTGTTCTGTCTTTTTTCCAATACTAAACATATCTTCTAACTGTTTTGTCTTTTTTCCAATACTAAACATATCTTCTAACTGTTCTGTCTTTTTTCCAATACTAAACATATCTTCTAACTGTTTTGTCTTTTTTCCAATACTAAACTTATCCTGTGTCACAATTTATTTACTCCAAAAGTCAAGCCACTGGGCACATTACAGTTGTATTCAGTGTAATGTATTGAAAGACAGCTACATTTAGTTCACTATAATTATGATAAATATGGTACATCTTAAGTAGTGGTGGAACGCTGTCCAGAAAGCCAGCTCTGGTAAACACTGTTATTCAAACAGTTTAAAAACTGTTATTCAAACACAGTTTAATGTGGTTCACTAAGTTATAACTCATAACACATAGTGTACTTCATAAGTAGTGGGGCAGACTGTTCAGGAAGCCAGCTTACACAAAAATAACAAGTCATATTAGAAATAGTCTCATCCTCAAAATATCATGTTGTTATAAATCAGTGCTAAAGTGCAATTAAAATTTAAAAAAAAAAAAAAGATTGCAGAGTGAATAAGTCAGGTTCCTTGTTTGTTTAGTTCATGCTTTAAGTGCGGGACATTCTTCTCATAAAAGTACTACAATGCAAGACATATTTCAAATAAACTTACTTAAAATAAGAATTATCACGATAATAAATTATCAGGAATTATCAATACCGGTACCAGTATAAAAAATATCACGAATTATCACAATAATAAAATATCAGGAATTATCACTATAATAAAATATCAGGAATTATCACCAGTATAATAAAATATCAGGAATTATCACCAGTATAATAAAATATCACGAATTATCACTATAATAAAATATCAGGAATTATCACTATAATAAAATATTAGGAATTATCACTATAATAAAATATCAGGAATTATCACTATAATAAAATATCAGGAATTATCACTATAATAAAATATCAGGAATTATCTCCATAACAAAATATCAGGAATTATCACTATAATAAAATATCACGAATTATCACAATAATAAAATATCAGGAATTATCACAATAATAAAATATTAGGAATTATCACTATAATAAAATATCAGGAATTATCACTATAATAAAATATCAGGAATTATCACTATAATAAAATATCAGGAATTATCTCCATAACAAAATATCAGGAATTATCACTATAATAAAATATCAGGAATTATCACTATAATAAAATATCAGGAATTATCACTATAATAAAATATCAGGAATTATCTCCATAACAAAATATCAGGAATTATCACTATAATAAAATATCAGGAATTATCTCCATAATAAAATATCAGGAATTATCACTAAAATATAATTCAGAAAATATCACTATAAAAAAATATCGGGCATTATCATTATAAAATAATATCAGTTATTGTCACTATAAATAATATTAGGCATTGTCACTATAAAAAATATTAGGCATTGTCACTATTAATAATCTCAATCTGTTAGGTGAGTGGGAGATGAGCTGGGAAATGGAATTTCACCCCGTCAAGTGACAGACACTATCAGTCTCTAGAAGTTGTACTCCTCTACACTCTACACTACCAATACAAACTGCATGGCCATACACTTGAGCCAATTTCTTCCGTAAAGTACCTGGGTGTTACCATTCAAAGAGAGGTCCGCTGGGACGAGCATATTAACAATGTGTGTAACCAGGCAAACAAGACCCTGGGGTTCTTAAAACGTAACCTAAAGATTGGCAACTCCTGTGTAAAAGAAAGAGCATATAAAGCCTTTGTCCGTCCGGTTTTAGATTATGCATCTTCAGTCTGGGACCATTTACCCAGAAGAGCATAGACAGGTTGTTGGCGATCCAGCGACGGGTGGCTCGCTTTGTCCTGAACCGATACAGGAATACCTCTAGTGTTGGCAGTATGCTGGAAACACTAGGCTGGTCACCATTGGAGGAACGACGACAATCCAGACTCTCCATGATGTACAAAATAAATAATGGTCCACTGTTCCAGTATTAAACAGAAACTCGTCCCTCTCCCCCATGGACAGCAACGAGGACATGACAGGCAATTCCGAATCATACCAGCAAGAAGCCAGTATAGGAGCTGCTCATTCCTGCCCAAGACAATCAGGGACTGGAACAAGCTTTCAAAAGAAACAGTTGAGGCGACAACACTAGACAAATTTGCGTCTATTGCCTCAAGCCTCCCAACCCCCAGTGCATGATTCCCTCACAGAGTAGCACTTCTAATCATTGAAATATCCTCATCAGCACCAGGCACAGAAACATTGCAAATCCCTTCTACATGCATAGGAGCCAAATGATCAATGGGCCCTTAATATATAGAAGAAGAAATATGAACATTAGGCGTTGTCACTATTAACAAATATTTATATTATGCATTGTCAGTATTAATAAATATATATATATTAGGCATTGTCACAATACAAATTAGGTACCGGTTCCTGAACTTTTTGGGATATGTTTGTTTATTTTTATTTAAATTGTCTTTACTGGGATAAAATAAAAGATAACCATTGAAATGATATGTTATCGTCGATATGTACTTTGAACGTAGAGCTTCAGAAACAACACAAAAGTTAGCAAACAATTATTTGTGGTATTTTTTTTATTTTTTCAATGCTAGGTTAAAAATGAGAGCAAAAAATGATAGCAAAAAATGATAGCGGATAATGTTACCAATTTATTAAAAAGAAAAAAATTATACATAGCACCAAAGTACATTTTTCAATTAAATGTCCCAATGCCACATGACAAACGACTGGTCACATGACTAAGGATGGCTAGACCTGCCACACTATAACACTTAAGAGACTTACAGAAATGTCCCACGATAACCGACTGGTAGACCTCGTCACATGACAATAGACTGCTGACCCTGGTCACATGACAAAGGACTTATAGACGTGTCCAACAATAACCGACTGGTACTCACTGGTAGACCTCATCACGTGATTATATACTGCTGGCCCTGGTAAAAAATTATCTATCCTTCTAACGGCAAGTGAGTGAAAATAAAATAATCTTTCAGGCTTAACAAGCTTCACAATAGCAGCTATAAAAATCATTAATTCCTTAAACCAACACAAATTCAACAGGTGGAGAGGGTCTTAGTCCTAAGAGCTCCAGTCACACATGGGTACTCAGACATACATGGGTACTCAGACATATGTGTGCACTCAGACATACATGGGTGCTCAGTCTCAAATGGGAACTAAAGTATTTTATATTTATTACCCTGAATCAATGCTTTGTGTCAGATCTGAACTAAACTAAATATATGCACACAATTTCTTTGTATACAATAACTGTACAGAAATCATCAATTGGTGGACACATTTTAAAAGAACTAGGAAAATGTTCCACAGCAATGTTAGAGCCATCAAATGGTTATCACTGTCATGGCTTATGTGTCCATGGTCAGTCAAGCATGGCTCAACATTTATCTATTAACAGCTTTAAGATCAAGAGTAATACTTCCAATTATGATCACAGTCTGCAGGCAGAGCCCAGCAGTAACCACAGAACTTCTCAGTACCTTTATTCTATTGTACAGGAACTACAAGAAAGTTGGACTATCAAGAACAAGTAGGGGAAAGTTTTTCTCAGTTAACCCTTCCTGTCTGACCTTCTTTTAACACAGCACCTTATTGCTTTCTTACAAATTATATGTATCTCAGAGGCACTCATAATTGTGTATCCATATTTTTCTCTCAAAAAGTTTGGCTGCACAATGGCTTCTCATTCAACCCATATAATCCACTTTTATCCTGCACAGCTAATCTATTCTTCCTCTCTTGATATTTCTATGCTTGGCAACCAACTCTCTGTTGCTTGGCTCACAGTAACTCAAGAGAACTGGCAGATGGAGCAGCAATGATATACTTTGCTCTGAAAACAAAATAAAACTATACCAGTCATTATGCACCCACAGCTTGTGCTCACCCCCTTTTTTTATTGTATCTTCTTTCACTCAATTAATATCTATGATGTATATATATATATATATATATATATATATATATATATATATATATATGTGTGCTTCTTATTTATAATGTAGGACATATTTATGTTTATTTAAAATTTAGCATATATATGCTATTTTTTATATATATTATATATATATATATATATATATATATATATATATATATATATATATATATATGGGTGCTTCTTATTTAAAATGTAGGACATATTTATGCTTATTTAAAATTTAGCATATATATGCTATTTTTAATATTTAGGATATTTATATGCTTATTTAATAGGTAGGATACATAAAATATAAATATATTCTTATTTAAAATGTAGCATATATATATATATATATATATATGCTTATTTAATGCATAATAGAAGGCCCAATTTTACCAGGATAATAATGGTAGGCATTTTGTGATACATTAAATTTGTATTATTTTTAAATTTGAAAACAGTTCCTTTTTGGAATGAAAAATACTTAAAACTTATTAAATGTTAAAAATACAAAGTTAAAATTTGGTGTGATGTGTTAACAATTTAAAAATCAATCAATTACATTTAGTAATTTTATTTCTAAAAAAGGTGAAAACCATCATCAGTTTTGTCACACCCGGTTATTATATCAACAAAAGTTAAAGCTATTTATTTGCGAGTTTAAAAATAGTTCTGATAAGTTTAGTCTTATTTTTGTTTCTTTGAGTTCGATCAAAAATTTTAATTTGATTCTGTTTGAAGACATAATTTAGATAACATAGATGTAAATTTAATTTCTCAATTTTACTAATGCTTTAAAAAAAACAACAGACATTTTGGGCTTTTCAAATAAATGTGAATATGAATTGATAGCAATAATACATATGTGAACATTTATTGTTAATTTAAAAATATTTAATTTTCCCATTCAGTTAAAATACTGAAAATAGTTTTTTAATTGTTATATTTATTTTATTTCTAATTTATTATACCAATATTACTTATATAAATAAATATAAGCAGATAAATTTTATTTTTATATTTAAATTTTTCGATTTCCTTAAAAAATTGAAAATCCCAATCATTGTTATTAAGCATCTCAATGTATTTAAATTGATTCGTTTTTTAGTGTAATATGGATACCCTAGATCATTATTTTATATTTTTTATGATATATATATATGCTTATTTAATATTTAGGATACATATTTATATACTTATTTAATATGTAGGATATGCATATGCTTATTTTAAACTGTTGGATATATATTTACTTATTTAATATGTATGGTTTATACATGTTTCTTTAATATGTAGGATATATATGCTTATTTAATTTGTAGGATATATAGATGCTTATTTAATATGTGGCACAACAGTTGGCACTTCTGGGGGGCCCCCCTGGCTTCTAGGAGACTCACTCTTATAAAGGTATGGTTAATGAATATTGAGAAGTTTTGGCAATTAAATTTGATTTAAAAATCAGTGGACAGCATGTTTCCCAATTTTAACCCACGATTTTATCGGCACGTTCCAAAATTAATATTATAAATGCAAGTTGGATACTTTTTAAACTTTTAAAGGGGAATTACTCTCGTCAACAAGTTTTACTTCTCCCAGATATGAATCGAAAAATTACATAGTTAGGCATTTGTTTACAATCAAGTTAGACAAAGATGTTGGCCCCGGGCGGTAATAACCCTAGATATGCCACTGCTCCGTAGTGGAATTAGTGGATAAAAATCTATCTGAGCATCAGTTCAAGTACTACTGAATTTAATTAGCATTATAAAAGGAATTTGTAGGTCGCCAATGAATAATTATTTTTAAAAGTAAATTTATTTAAAAAAAACAAAAACAAATAACTTTATATTTTTTAAACAGAAATATATTTTGTATTCTGTGTCTGAAAAACATATTTAGATGATAAATAGAACCCAACAGTCACCGTATGTCTGATCTGTAGGCAGAAATATATAGGCATTTAGACATAATTGTGTTCACTGTTCAAAGCTCAAAGTCATTTTCATCTTACAAACCGGGGTAGCTCAAACACAGAGATCGATTTTATTAATTGCACCATGGCTATTGAACATTTCCCGATGTTCGTTTTTTGCAGGGCACAAGTCAGTCTGAAGGGACAGACAAATCCATTTTGAGCAGATTGCTGCTATTACTATAGAAATAATTGTAAACAATGAATATATTTCTAGGTGTTTAATCCCTTAAGCGGGAATAAAAAATAGTTTTATAATTGGAGCACAGAAGAGAAAAAGAGCTGAGGAGACAAGGAATACGAGTAAACTTGCAAATTTAACAGCTTGGTTAAATCCAATCGAAATATCAGTGACTAATACTGCTACTCAAAATAAAGTAGTGTCATCTACATCCTCTATTGGATCCAGCCATCTAGTTCCAGACAACACCATTACCTATTTCCTCTGCTGGGGAAATTGTAAAAACTGAAACACACAAAACTGTGTCAGAAAACGAGAGTGTGTGATTCACCACACAGATCCCAGGCTATGGCATTTTAGAACACTTGTACTGGATTCGCCCTGGGCCATCATTTTGTCAGAATCATGACTGCAACCTTTCAAACTCAGGTAGAGCTGGAGAAGAAAGAACTAAGACAAGGTATTTATCAAGAAATATGTTCAAACGTGAACTGCGGAATGGTGAGTGTGTTAAACTCGAATGGCTTCTCTATTCACCATACCAAGGTTGTTTGTATTGTTTTGCATGTCGTCTATTGTACAAAAAAGTATTTCCCTTTGCTGAATCAGGATTCAATTATTGGAAACATAACAATATTATTGTAGAGCATGAAAATGGAGTAGTGCCATGCAAGGGTATGACCACATATTTGCTTCGACTGAAAGAAGCTAGGTGTTTAGGTCCTGTATTAGTCAAAGAACTTAGGTCAAAACAGAAGTACTGACATAAAGTTCTGACTCGTGGGTTTATGTCGTTCGCTTTCTTGACTCCACAGGTTTGGATCAAACTATGGGGTCAGACAGCAATGGAAGCTGTTTAGGTATTTTAGAGCTGTTGAGTGAATGTAATCTTTTTTTTTTGGAGGAGCATCTCAAACTATAATGTAAATGCTAGAAAGGATAACACATCATATCTGTCTCCAAATATTTGAAAATAATTTATTGATCTAATGGGGCAACATGTCCTTTGTCCTATTTTGGAAGAAATCACAAAGTCAAAGTATTATTCAATAAGTTATGATTCCACTTCAGACATTTCACACATTGATCAACTGACATGTACGGTCCGGTACATTCAAGGATGTAAGTCTATGGAACGTTAATTTCCCTATTTTCCCATGGAGCAAAGGATCTAACAGACACTGTTTGTATCAAAGGATCTAGCATACAATGTTTTGGATTTCCTGAGCGAGAACAAAATTCCGCCTTCAATTTGCCGTGGTCAATAGCATGACAAAGCTTTAAATTTATATGTTTATGGATGCTACACTGGATTGCAATCACAGCTGCATGAATTGAAAGAATTTGTCATGTATGTCCCTTCTGCTTAGTGAGCTTAAAAGCAGCAGAGTGTTTCTACAAGCTGGACAATTCTTTGACTTTCTTCAGCGCCTATATGCCCATTTCTCAGCTTCTACACATTGATGGAATGTTCTGGTATCTTCTTTAGAAAAATCTCTCGTTTGTCCTAAATATCTGTCTGACACAAGATGGTCGGCACATTTTGATGCCATCAACATTTCGAAAAAAAATACAAGATGCTCTGGACTCTGTATCAGTTGACACTGATCAGGAAAAGGAAAAACGAGGCGTGAGGCAGAAAGACTAAGGAATAAAATGGACAACTTGATAATTTATCATCATCTGGAATGAATTATAATGTATTTCTGATGTTTTAAAAACATTATTGAATTGGAATGATTTTGTTTTTATATAAATAAGTTGAATTAACCTATTTTTAACTTTATTGAATGTTTATTCTTATTTACAATTTTATTCCTCTTGGTGATTGGGGTTTGGAGTAAAAACTGTTTGCACCCCCCTCCCCCTCAATTTGAGCATGGGGCGAGTGCCCCCCACCCCCCCCCCTTCTCAGGACCATGGTCTGTTGTGTTGCTGGGGGCCCCAGTGCATTGCTGTGCCCAGGGTCCCCTATGTTCTTAAGACGGCCCTGGATATATATATAATATTAACTTTTTCAATATGTAGGATATATAAATCATAAGAAGTTTATATAGATTCATGCAAATTGCGGTTTTGTTGAACTGATAAAGACATTAGCAGCAACTGCTTAATTTGTATTTTGTCTTTTAATTAATATGTTAATTTAATATAATCATTTTTTATATACTTAAATTGTATGTGTCTTAATGATTTAGTTAAAGGTATTACCGCAGTTCAACATGCTTATGATTAGTTAATTTCACAACTTAAACTTCATCTCCTTTTATTTAGTTGTTTTTTGGAGGTTGTTCCTTATAATTATATCAAGTCATGTCACTAAAACTTTATGAATTTCTACAAATGTCCACCCATACTTTAAATACAATTTCTCACCATGAATTACTTGACTAATCTGTGTCCAATTTTCCAAGTACTGGACCTTTTCTTGCCTCCACATGCCATGTGGGTTCAAACCCCTCCAGCAACATGCCTATGGAAGTATCAATCAAATTATCTCAATGAAATATAAATGCTGACTAAACAGTGAAGTATAATGTGGAATATAAATACAAAAAAGATATAGTTTTAAAAATTAATAATTTATAGTCGTTTTAGTTGCTACATGCCTTTTTTTTTTCAGTCAGGCCTTATCAAGAGTTATTCAACTGATTCTAATCAGATTTACTGGCTGTTAAAATTTAAATATAGACAAATGGCTCTAACCCTGTCAACTTCCTCATCAGTCATGCTGTGTGTTCCCTCTCTGCTCATAGCACTGTCAATAAAATGGAGGAATAAGGCGTCCTTGACAAGTTTTTTACGCCGCAGAGACAGACGGAGTGACTTACTGAGATGGCGCTACAATTTGATAATGTACAATACAATAAGTGATACGATTTTTTTAAAAACATCTCAGGAACAGGGAAGTAATTTCTCATGATGCTCTAAAGTTTTATAGAAATTATCATGCAGAAATAATTTAAGATGCTACTTTGGAGATATTTAACTATCAGAGACAAAATTGAATCAATGAAATTAATATTTGATGCTGGAAAAATTATCAAGAGTAACAAACAAACAAATTTTTTTAGAATAACCACCAAACCCAATAAAATTGAGTGTTAATAAAGTAAATGTATTTTTTAATGTTGTTTGTTCATCTGGATTTGAACACACAAACTGCTGATTGCGAAGCCTGGGGTTTTTTTGTGTGGACACTTTGCAAAAAATTCTTACTGAATGTCGTATGGAAAGGCAATCTGTGTTGAATGGTTTACCGGCAAACAAAGGCAACAACTCAAGGATTTCATCTTTTCTCAGGGGGACATTGGAGTCTAGCTGAGAAATCATTTTTAAAATAGTGAATACATATTAATTTCATATATATTTGTACATTTTAATAGATAAAAATAGCATAAATCTTTGAGGTGATCTAATTGAAATGAAAGAAACAGAAATAACATGGAAAGGTTTCTCAATTCTAACACAAAATCTGTGACACATCAAACTATTCTAAAATTTAAGTTCATATTTCTTTTCAAAAACCTCAAAATTTCATAAGTTCCCATGGTATAAGGTAAGCACCCATGATAGCGTAAGATTTTCATAAATGAGGAAGATTAAATTTCCCAAAACAAACACCAGTATAACTACTTTAGGTTAGTAACTGCATTTCTTAACACAAGAAAAAAATGTATTTACACAGAAGTAGAATTGCTTCAACCAATTAATCCTTAGAGTGAAAAGAATCATTTGACTTATAGAAATTTAAAACAATTAAACCTCATAATAAAAAAAACTTAATTTAATTGGAAAAAAGAAACTATACCATAACCATGGGGTTAGACAAAACTAGCAAAAACTCAGAAGCCATACACATGTTCTCTGGAGCAACCACGTTTTTGGCTAATTGAAATATGGGCTAAGAAAATAACAGTAACAAGGGGGAGAGACTGCAATCGGGTTACATTGAAGGAAATAACCGAAACAAAGAATGGGAAAACCTGGAAAAAAAAAGGACACAACAAAACAATGAAAGTGTCTGCAAGTTGCCTTCTTCAACAAACAAAACAATTAAACAACAGTAAAAACACATTCTTTCTTTTGTACCGTCCTTTTTATCAGGATTCCCCATCCTTTGTTTCACTTATTTATTTTAAGAAAAACATGACTATTAAAGTGCCAGGTAAAAATGTACAGATGTCCTGGTGACTCAGAGCCCTGGATTACTTGTAACACTTACTTTACTTATAAGACCTACGACAATGTCTCTGGTTGCTTTTGTTTCAATGTGTTGGCTCAACAGATGCATGTAATCCAGGATATTGTCATAATGATTCACTTGTTTGGTGATCGCAATTTTCATAAACTCTTCTTTTTGCTGACTTGTCCAAAAGTGATGTGACAGGAGAAACCTTGGAAAAACATATCTGCAAGACACACAGCAACAAAAAAGATAAAAACATACAGCAACACTAAAATATGAAGACACACAGCAACATTAACATATGAAGACTAATACAATCATAACAATTTACAACATACCTAGGAAAATTTCTCCAAGACACACAGCAACGCTAAAATAGCCAGACACATACAACCATATTAACATTTAACATGCCTAGGAAATATTTTTTCAGATACACACAACAATAATAAAACATGGAACCACATATCTGATAAAGCACACATGAATACTAAGACATGGAAACATTAGTCTGAAGATACAACAGGAATACTAAAACATGGTTAGATATAAAACAAAATAATTACCGATTATTTGTCTACCCATCAAAAGAATAAATTTTTCAACAAAAATGTTGTGTGGCTATATCATTTGTGTGAATTTTTTTAAAAATCATTAAACTTACGCTAATGGAAATGCAGCTGCACCCCCTGGCGCAAAGACTATCACAAATATGAGACCAACGACCGGAAGATCTTTGGAAAACTGAACATTTAGAAAAAGTGGTAAATGCAGCGTCTTTACAAGCTTTTTACAAAACAGTAAATACATGTTTCAGAAATAAAATATTTTTATTTGTTGCATGAATATTAAAAATGGAATCATTCTGAATTGCTTTAAAATTAAAAAATTTGAAACTAAGGGTAACAGAAAATTTTTTTTTTGAAAATCACATGAAATTTAATGAAAACCCAAAAAATGAATAAATCAATACCAGTTTCCTTTGCTTTAGTCATACTACACAGTAATCTCCAGGTATTTACTTAAACTTTATATGACAGATCTCAAAAGCTTCGTGACGTGTCAATGTTTTTAGATATTTGATTTTAAAATATCTCATCCTTGGTTGTTTCTTTCTTCATTAAGTTCATTATGAGTACAACCTGATCAAGAATCATTGTCAGCTCAGCAAAATGGTGATAAAGGCAAATCTTTTAAAAACTTATTTTACTGAGCGCTGCCACAAAACCTTTTTTATTTCCCTTCTATAGGAAAAGATATATATTTGTTCCATTGTAATTTATATTTTTGTTCCATTTTAATATATATATTTGTTCCATTGTAACATGTATATTTTTGTTCCATTGTAATGTATATATTTGTTCCATTGTAATATATATAATATATATATATATATATATATATTTGTTCCATTGTAATATATATATATTTGTTCCATTGTAAATTATATATTTGTTCCATAGTAAATTATGAATAATCTCATTAATGAATCTTCTGTGCCCCTCTGACGCAAATGAATACATGAGAATTTTCATCATTGTTAAGCATTCCACAAATAAATCAAACCTATCAGACTCTTTTGCTCTCATTGTTGACTAGATACTAACCTGTCTATAAAGTTCCAGTTCTCTTCTAGTAAAATGCTCCAGGCTTTCTCCTGACCATAACCTTGTTGAGATCTTGTAAAAGTCTTTAGAGTCTGATACAAACCCAGAAACTCCTGTCAAGAAGATATTAAGAGGGTAATTAGTCCAGATCTTCTTGAATTTTAATTTTTAAAAAGCTAATCTTACTCATTCCATTTTAGTTGTTTTTTTTATAAATGGAGAATAGGCAGCAGGTGTGGGATCATCACTCAGATCCAATCACCATTTGGATATATTCCTTCAAAAGGTGTAGGGTAAAAACTGGCAGGCTGCATTATGCCAACAAAAATGGACCATTGAAAATAAAAAGAAAGGAAAAAACATGTCATGCAGGGCCCAAATCATTTTGTTTAAAAACAGAATTTGAAAGCTTTAAAAAGGTTATTGTTTTGTGGGTTTTTTTGTAAATAGTTGTATTTGCTAGTAGTTTTGTAATGTAATATAGACAGTTAACGAGCTTAGATTTTAGAAATTCTTCATCACTGTCCGAATAACATTCATTGAGTTTCATAACTTTGTCCTCAAACTCCATGAGAAAACATATAATTTGTTCTCCAAAATAAATGTGATATAAAGTAAGATATTAGTCCTAAGAGTTTACAGACTAAACCTGCTTGTGACATACCTGTTTTAAATGTTCTATATACTTGAAACACACTTGGTATTTTCTTCTCTAACTTATCTGATGAGGTGGTAATAAAACTGATTAACTTGTCCAGCAGAAAACGTCGAGGTCTTGCAGGAGGTTTAACCTTATCCTCTTGTGATTCATGTTTTTGTCTCTGTGTGCAGTAACATCTGTAGAAAGTCAAAATACTACTCATTAATCATTGTTTATCCATGTCAGTGACTGTCAACAATCAAGGGTAATTTTTTTTTAAAATGGAATTAAAGTGTTATTTTCTTAATGTTAAAGAAGAACACCTCATTGATGGAAGATGTTGTTATAAATTAAAAATAATTATTGGTTCTAACACAGTTTCTTAAATAATTGTTTACAAAATAAACACAGTAGGCTATTTGAATCATAAAAGTTCTATTGTATAGGCATATGCCTTTACTAACATAGGAATGATAGGCCCTACAAATAATGTATGAAATAAGTTCATCATTTTTAAAAAATATAATATCTTGAGTACGTCTCAGTAATACGAAATAAATCTATTATTTATACTATAGTATAATCTATGACTGGGTTGGGCAACTCGATCACAGAGCAGTATATATGGAAAGTGTGGTGAATTTTATTTTGGCCAATAAAAATATACAAGTACATTTTGTATAGACTAGACTATACAATAATTCTCAAAATATCAAACCTTATCAAAATATCATTGTATTTAACACTAAGCATCCAGTAAGGCAAGCAAGCAGTTGAATATATGTGTATACTTATATCGTAAAATTAATTAAAATTAAAAACTGGTTTATTTACTGTTACTGCCATTTTATAATAAAATTTCCTGCCTACATTTCTGTTTAAGATATAAAGTAAAAAAAGGAATTAAGAATGGTAGAAAAGATCATATTTATGGCTGAGCAGAGTTAAAGCAGATGAAAGTTAAAAAATGCTGAAAACGATTCTGACCGAAATCAACAGGAATCTCGACAAATTTATGCCTGATATTTCAAAATTATTTTCATTACTTGGATTAACTTGGCTCAGTGAATAACTTGAAACAGAATTATGATTATCTACACTGGGATCAATCAAATAAAGTATAAAGATCCTGAATAGTTAAAGTGAATTTAGAAAAAGAGATGTGGATGGCTTAAGTACAACAAGAATTGAACAAAAAAATTTTGCAGCTTGTTTAGGAAAAAAAAAAAAAAACTATATCTAACTTTATCAAAGACAAATTTTGCATAAAAGTTTGGTTAAAATATAATTAAATTACCTTACATACTGTGGTTTATTTCTTCTCTAATAATTTAGGCAATATAATTAGCTTAGGTCTATAGTGTGGAGAATTTTATTACTTTTGATTTAAAACTACTGTGTTGGGGGGGGGGGGGGAATTGGGGGAGTAGGTTAAGTTTAACAGTTTATCATTATATATTATCAATTATGACTAAGACCAGTGTTTCTTTCAGACAGCTTGTTCAGTGGAGGCGTTTGAGATTTTTGTGTGGGCAGTGCAGGAGGAGTGGGCATTTTACGGAGTGGTGGCATTTTCGTCCTACTTTAGAGTTTTAAAATGGAACAGAGGGGGGAGGGGGAGGGGGGTGGGTTTGAAAAAAGGTCTTGGCCCAGGGTGGCAGTTACTCTAGCTAGGCAACTGGGCAGTGCATAATGGGGACTAGATTCAGCTATAACTTATAACTCCACCCCCTTCCCCAGACATAGCCTTAATTCATTTTAGTTGAGAGTATGCTTTTGGCCCCAGCTAAGTTTTACCACTGGAATCAATACAGCCCAACTATGCATACAAAAGTAAAGGTGAATAATATCTTCGTTAGTTCAAGAGAACTTAATTAGTAACATCAATTTTTTTTTTGGTGCCCACACTGTCATTTTCATTAGGGTAGCTGGTAGAAGACGAGGTCGCTGATAGTTACCGAGCAGAGCAAAAATGAAGAAAAGTGGAAAGGGTTGAAAATTTCAGAAACTTATCCAGGGAGGGGACATTTCAAGGGGAGGATTTTACAGGCATTTATCAGCAGCAAATAAGGCAGTATGGCAGCTTTTGGAGCGACCCAGGGTATTCTTTTGGTCCAATCAAGGGCATCAAAGGTTAACAAGCTATTGAGAGGAGGGGGTCTGAGCTCTTCCCCAGTAAATTTATAATAAATTCAAAATACAGCAATACATTCTAGTGCATATCTAAATTTAGTTTTCCATTGTTCTGCAGTTAGAGAGCAACATAATTAAGGTGTCTATAAACCTGGTTGTATTTATTCAAATAAAATATTTTAAGTTGTTACTAAATTGTATTGTTGTTTTATAAAATGAATTTAAACAAGTTGTTTAATTTCTTCATTAATAAATACATTTTTTTTAAAAATATTTTTTATACAAAAAGGTGTCCGTCACAAAAAGCAAGGATACTAATTACCTTCCTGAAGATTTCAAAGTTTTACCAGATACAAAAAAGAGAAAAAATGTTTTTTTTTTACAGAAAAGGTCTATAAATCTTAAATGAAAACTTTTATAAATTGTTTATAAATAGAAACAATTACACTAATAACTATATTTTTAAAGCATGATAACAATACACAATTAACATCCTGCCCTAATTTAAAAATTTATCTCATATTGCAAAGAAATAGAAATTGAAAACTAATTACCAAAGTTTGATATTTATGCAGAACTAATTAAAAATATTGGCCTTTATACCTATGGAAAGTTAGTTTAATTCTGTATCATTACAGGTATAGACTATTTTTCCCATATAGTAAGTCTTTTAACTAGGTATGTTGCAAAACATTATTTTTAATAAAATGCAGGTATCAAAACTAATATTTGAACAGCATCCAATATATTTAGTGTATCGATATGTCATTGGTTCCATCATTTCCCTCATTTTATGACACTGAAGCTACCATTCAGAACACTTTCACAAATGTCATAAAAATGACAATGTTGAATTTATATTTCCATTTTATTTTTTGACACTTTTTTCTCTGTAGGGTGGGTGGCAAATTATATAAATGATATTTTGCTGTGATTTTGAACTTATTTTTCTATGACGGGGGTCCTCAAATAATGTCTGCTGGCCAAAAACATGCATAACAGCAATCCTTATTAGTTCTGAGGAGAACCCTAAAACCATGTCTTCATGTGCTACAGTTACTACACAATGTACAGTACTGACAAAATCGTAAATTTGAATAAAAAGATTAAAATTATCTTTAAAATTTTCAAAATAATGAAAACCCAACATGCAACTCACTTTCATTGACTAAACTTTTACACACTTTATTGCAGATTACCTATTCCAAAATGCCACCCTCGTTAAATATTATAAACCCCCCAATGAAATATTCATTTAAAACATTCCACCTGCAATTATTAATATTAAAAAAAGAAAAGTTAACTCTAGTAACAATCCAAGTATAAACAAAGGGCTTTGAAAAATGAGAGAATCCTTCATAGAAACTCAAAGTAGCACGGATTGCGAAAATTGACTTTTTTTTCCGCTACAAATAAATCATAAATAAGATAAGATAAGATTCTTTTATTGATCCAAACAAATAGAAATGTTTTATGATTGCATTGTACATTTTCAGCACTTATAAAAAACAATTTGAACACAAGACATTTGTAATAAATTTTTTCACTAGCAGCCATTCCGTGAGTTCTCTTAGCCATATTAAGGACTTATTAGTTCTCATTAAGATTTGTGACTTCAAGTGGTAAATTCGTACAGACTGGGGAACAAAAGAATTTTTAAATCTTTCAGTCCTCGCCCTGATGGAATGTTCAAGTATGAGCATATGCATAGTTTAGTGCATAGTATAACATCATTTGTTCATATTTTTTTCACTATAGTACAATAGTAAAATGACAGTTCAAATTTTTATAAAACCGAGTAGCTTGCCCGTGATTGCCACCTACTTTTACCACTTTGGGTTGGTTCCAAAATCATCTTTGACTTTGTTGTTTCTAAACTTGGTTTCAGTAGGTTGAGTATGGTTAATTAAAACAGACCCATTACTATATTTTTTAAAATAAAATTTAAGCTAATGCAAAGAGATGTCGACATGACGTCATTTTTTGTTTTGTTAAGTTTCTGTTTTGGATTATTATTATTATTATTATAAGTGGTTTTATATAGCGTGGTACCCCAGCCTAGGGCTCTGCTCACCCCGCGGTACATACAATTCAACTAAAAATAATCAAAAACTTAAAAAATTAATTAACATACATTAATTAAATAAATCAAAACAAATGTATATTTAAAACTATTTACATGTCAAGACATGGACGACACCCAGCAGCATCATTTTTCGGTCAGAGGTGGGAATCAGTCAGGATAGAAGAGTTTAAAAAGATGTGTTTTGAGTGCAGTTTTGAAGGCTGTGATGGTCGGTATATTGGGGATGTGAAATGGAAGAGAATCACTCCACTTAATTTTTTGTTAAGAGTTAAATTTTCCTTAATATGATAATGGCATGTTTTATTAAATTTTTTATTGGTTAATTAATCATAATTTTAAAATTTTATTGGTTGGGTAATTATAATATTTTAATATTTCTGCCATATTTGAAAATGAATTTGCCATGGACAGAAATTGTATTTAATTCATTTTCTGGATATTCTTTACGGTGGAACGTGAAATAAAGTGTGTAAAAGTGTATTCTATGAAACTGTACGTTGAGTATTCATTATTTCTTTATTTTACAATTATTTTCTCTCTTTTTTTTTTCCCTTCATTTTTATATTCTTCTTGCCACAGTGTGTAAATGCAACAGCACAACATGTTACTTTTTTACGTTATGCTTATTCTGGCTAATTTTAGGGTTTGTGTTAGGTTTAGGGATAGATTTAGAAATCAGGTTATGTTTAGGGATAGATTTAGGGTTCAGGTTAGATTGAGGGTTCAGGTTAGATTTAGGGTTCAGGTTAGGTTTAAGTTTAGGGATAGATTTAGGGTTCAGATTAGGTTTAAGTTTAGGGATAGATTTAGGGTTTAGGTTAGGTTTAGGGATAGATTTAAGGTTCAGGTTAGGTTTAGATTTAGGGTTAGGGATAGATTCAGGGTTCAGATTAGGTTTAAGTTTATGGATACATTTAGGGTTTAGGTTAGGTTTAGGGATACATTTAGGGTTTATGTTAAGATTAGGGATACTTTAAAAGTTCAGGTTAGGTTTAGTGACAATGAATTATTTTGTGTGTTTACCGACTGAATTACACAAGGAAAAGGAGCGTTGTAGCTTCTTGTAAAATATATAGACGGATTCAATAAGGTAGCTACGTTCACCATGAAATTTATGTACCAGTGGACATTTTTTCATTAAATTTTATCATTTTATTCCTAATTTTAGCAAATGTGAGTTATTTATTTTACACAGCCGCCATCTTGGTTGCAGAGACCCGTGAACCCGCAAAAGTTCCCGGGTCACAGCAACCGAAATGGCAGCCGTGTGATTCATCACAGCGACATCTCTTTGCATTTACGAAAATTTATGCCTTTACTCTGAATAATTTCTTGGCAGTGTCTACATATATGGCGACCGTCCAAATAATGCGGGAGATATTCTACCGGTGGGCATGTCACGTGACCGCCGGACGACTAGTATGTGTTATTATTCCAGCAGACATGTCATGTGACAAGAGATCGGCGGCAAAATTAAAAAAAAAAAAAATTTCACCATTTTGGTTTGGATATCTTATAAAGCTCTTCATAGTAGACTAGTAGCCTAAATTTAAAATATGAACCAAAGAAAATAAGAACAATACTTACCGGTTGACTGTCAAGAGATCTACTGTCAAAAAAGTTTTATTTTAGGCTATTAATATTGTGTGAGAAGTTGGCTACCCCAACAGCACACTAAATAGGCCCTATACTATATTAAGATAAAGATGTAGGGTCTATTTCTTTGTGAACTTTTGACCTCCCCGCCTTAATTATTTATCACCCTCACTATCATTGTTATCCTTTCTCTCTCACTCTCAGTATTTCTCCTTCTAGTATGCATTGCTCCCCCCCCACTTATTTCTTGAAATGAAGTGTATACTGTAATACTCATCACCCCCCATGCATCTCAGGCACCAGTTTTATGATCACATGACAAGGCTGACTGACAGATATCTGACCCAACTTTGTTACAGCGGTCATGTGACCTGGTCATGCCGAAAGAATATCTCGAGAATTATTCGTCCGGTCGCTGGGCATGTAGATACTTAGTTATTTCTTTCCTCTCAATTCACGGTAACGTCATCCGATCCAGGTTTACTCAGCCAAACCTTGACAACAACAAATGATATGAAAGCAAAATTGATATTCACTAACCCAATGAGGGCCAATGTACTCTTAATATAAAGTTTTTTGGTTTGTGAATGTACCCAAAACGCCCGCCCATTGCAATAGCCCCCCCCCCCCCCCCCCCCCCCCCCCCCCCCCCCCCCCCTAAAGCAAAATTGATATTCACTAACCCAATGAGGGCCAATGTACTCTTAATATAAAGTTTTTTGGTTTGTGAATGTACCCAAAACCCCCGCCCATTGCAATAGCCCCCCCCCCCCCACCCTACGCCAGTGTCTGAGGACACAGACGGCCCATTGCTTAAAATGTTTGACGACTCCTGTCTGGTCTATGATCATAATCATGATGATGGGATTGATGCCAATCATAATATAATACAACATTTAATAACGAATAATGGCACACTACTCAACTCACCGCACGCCGCTCTCATACCTGATGACCCTCCTAAACTTCGCTACCTTTGTAGAGCTTGTCCCGTAACTGTATTTGGCCTATACCTTGAGCATACGTTAAACCCTCACTCACCTTTCATTGTAATTAGATTTATTAGCATCAATTTTACTTAAGTAGCATGTGTAAGAGATTTGTAAATTGTAGCCGCTGAATGTCCTAAGTAAACGTAGTTTCATGGGCGCAGACATTTTTTGTTTTTCATTTGTATTTTTGGTAATACGGTGTGACTCCGTTCACAATTAAGGTTAGCAGAGACCAGACGCTGTTTCCTTATAACCTTAAAGTTATTATTTTTAATTCAGTTATTAGTCATAATAATTTACTGAACAAACATGCTTGTGACATACGTTTTTTCAATTTTCTATACACTTTAAAAACACAAGGTATTTTTTCTCTAACTTATCCGATGAGCTGGTAATCAATGTCAATGAAAAAACTATTGCTTCAGATGACGCACTTAACAATAGCATTCGTTTAATCAATCAAAACGTTATAAAATCGTTGGCATTTTGGATAAAATTTTGCGTGCAACAATATAATATAACATATCTTGTTCCACTGTTTATTTATTGTGGGTAGATAGCCTACGCCTTAGGATTGGACCTATTTGTTGAATCCTTAAATTACGTCTATAATGCTTCGCAATTATAACAAAACAAATGAAATAAAATACCCTTCTAATAGAAGAAACCAAAAGCACACATTGGCCCAAGTAATTGGCCCCTGTAGATTGAAATATCATTTTTTTTTAAAATAATAATTTAATTTTTAAAAACTTATCGTCAAAAATTATATTCCATGTAAAATTTTTTTTAAAATAAAAATTTAAATTTTAAAAAATTATCGACAAAAAATATATTCCAAGTAAAAAAAAAAAAAAAAAAAAAGATATAACAACAAAATAAAATTAAAATGAAAAATAAAAATCGATCATAGTAAGTTGGAATGTAGGCATACTGTATTCAAGAAAATTGAATAAAGTATGCTTAGTTCCTGTGCCATCACATAACTTTTGGAGGCCCCTGCCAATTTTTGGCCCATTGTATTTTAAGTTGATAGTTAACAATTGTATTTTTATTATCACAACTTTGGCCTCTTAATTAATAATCCGAGCGCCCCCCCCCCCCAAGCCACAGGAGTTGCAGGGCCCAAAAGGCGTCTATCCCCAGTCCATACAACAAAGTTTTTTAAAGACATTTTGGGAATTTGTTTGCAAGATTGATAGTAAATTCTTTTTTCCCCTTGAAACAAGTTAAAATTTTGCTTCAGGTTGAATATTCTTTTATTCTGATTCTGATAGACTACGTTGCTGCAACCAAGTACTGGCATATGTGCAACGGTTTGGGAAACGATGCGGCTACCCTAACCGCTCCTAGCGGGTGCCGGGGCAGCCTTGATCACTTGAAGCTCTCGATTGATGTCGAGTCCACGGCGGCATTGTCCAGTTGGTCCCAAGCAATTATTGTTCGTGGGAAGAATGATTGTTTATATTGAACTGTCTTACACCGAGGCACAATGAAGCAATTATCATGGTTCCGGATGTAACTGCTCATGATAATCTTAACAAAACTTCGTTAATTTTGGAGTTTCTCGTGAGTCTCGTGTCTATATAAAACATATTTTGTTAAAACTTTTTAAAACATGCTTTTATTAAAAATCTCTTTTTAAAAAAATAAATATTTTGTTTTGTTGAGATACACCGGGATTTTCTTACAATTAACATGTCTACAAAAATAAAAGTGTGATCCTATTTTAGCTTAATCATTGTGACATCACTATTCTCTACCAATTAGACTAATCTAATACTATCAAAAATTCAATGTCAACGGCAGGAGTAATATAGATTTTGGTTTGACGTAAAATATCTTTACTAAGATGCTAACTTGATTAGTTTTTGGTGTGATTTTTTTTTTTTCAACGGATTTCACAAATATCTATTTAAAATCGACTTTAAGTACCCACCTTGGATAGTTCACAGAATGATATGGGATTTCGGTAGAAAGGATGGCCATAATTTACTGTTTTGTTATTTCCCTTATTCCCTAATAAAACAACGAATGAATGACATGCATAACGGTGATTCTGTCGGCATGATTTGCGTAGTGTCAATGAAATCATACGAGAAAATCAACAAATAGGGCCTACTAAATCGGGAAATGAAGTACCGGTACTAAAAGTTGTTGATACAAAATCGAAAAGTAAAGTCTCTAATCTAATTCAACCGTCAATAGCCAATCTAACTAATCTAACTTTTGTTCATTAAAACTAAAAGTAAACTTGGACTTGGAGTTGGAATTAGGCAAGTAAACAATTAAAACTAATTAAAAGTCACACAAAAAGAAGCTTACTTTTTTAAGTTAAATTTAAAAGCATTTATGATTTGACAAAAGTGGAATATTATTTTCTTATTAATATACACTTGTCTCAGTCTTACGACATAAGTTGCTTCTAATAGTCTAAAACTCTAAATCTGTCTAGTCTAGTCCCTTAGTCACCGGTCCTTGACTTGTACATTTTAAAAATCATAAAAATGACAATAATTCACAATTTGTCAATGAACTGAATCAGTCAATTCAGTGCATAGTAATTTTAATTAGTAAGCTAATGCATATTTAGCTGATGTCTCTGACTCTGGTATATTTTTTATCAACAATGCATGCTATTTTTGTTGTTCTTTCTCACCTAAATCTTAATTTAGTGACAAATTTAGACCTAGTTACACTAGCCTAGTTCTAGTAAGATGGTCAATGGTAGTCAATGGTAGGATTAATTAAGAAATGTTAATACATGTGCCATATAATATATTCCTAACAAAAATAGTTGATAGTATTGATAGAAAGGATTATAATTATAGTATTATTATTATGATTTGTATCCCCCCGCCCCTAATAGTCTTTGACTTGTTTTTTTGTCTCATTACCGGGGTCATTACCCCCGATCTATATTTATTATTTATACAAACTTAATTATAATGCATCATTCCCATCCCGTATTTATCAAATGTAAGAAAAAACTATGTATCGTAATTAGTCCTTTACTATAATTATTGAATTTATCATTTTTTAGCTTTCATAAATTGTTTAACGACTATACATAAATTGTTAACCTACTATTCATTCATTTTAATAGGCCTATATTTAATTAATAATTAATTACAAATGTACCGGGTACATTGTACCCAGGCCCCGTAATTGTGTAGTGTGTGCCATTTTCATTGTTGGAAAGGTATTTATAAATTTTTAAGGATATTAATATTAAGGTAATTTTTTTTTACAATAATTGCTTATTATACTATTTACAGAAAGTTTTGATTAATAAAAGTACAGGAAATGGAGAATTTAAGCCGTGATTTACTTCTAAAGCAGCTGAGAGACCATTTGAACAATGAGAAAATTAAGCTATGGATGCCACCTTTTACAAATGAGAAGCGTGAAAAAGGGGAAATACCTGAGGTAACAACTTGCATTTTTGTATTTATACAATTGCAATTTAAAATATATTTTTATTATAAGATAATCTCGATTTTTAACATAATCTGGCACATTAGTAATTCACATTAAAATAATTTTTCGATTTTGGAAATTAAGATACAAAGAAAAACTTTACCTTTTATTGATAGAAAATAAAGTTAAATTCCTGTTGAACTTATTTATTTTTTTAATCCTGTATAACTTTGGCATCCAAAAATTAATAATTTGGGAATTACGGATATTTTAATTTTTAGTTTGCCTAGCTAAGTTCATGATTGAATTTGAATTAGAAAATATTTTTTTACAAATGTCTCCATGATTCCAGGAGCTTATTTCAAGATATGCAGAAGTGCTGAGGTCTTCTAGGGATGAAATAGCTCAGGGATTGGAAGACTTGCGTTTGCGTGCAATTTCAAAGCTTGTAGAGAGGGAAAAATTCCAGAATCTTGGGGTAGCTACACTGCGTGTTAAACTTACTGGGTCATTAGCAACTGAGGTGAGAAAATATCCTATAATAGCACGAGGTCAAAAACTCTTTTTCTAAATCCAACATTTTCACTGTCAAATTTGTATTTATTAAAGTAGTACCGTATACATTTTTGTACGGGTTCATAAAGGGCAAGGAGAGTTAAAACTTCAATTGATACCAAATAAAAAAAAAGCATTTTAAATTAATTAATTAAAATAAAATTATTGCTAGTATCATATCACAGAGTAAAAATCAGCTCATGAGCCCTCCTTACACTTCTGGATAAAAAAAAGTGAAGTTAATATTTGGGATGAAGCCATTTTGGGGGGGGGGGGGGGGGAGAGCTGCTGGTCTGTCATAATGAGCTATTTATAAATGGAATTACAGAGGAATTTACGCAAGCTAGTCCCAGTTGAATGCAGACTGGATATTACAGGTGCTGATCTTAGAGCTCTGGTGTCTACTAAATATGAACTGAACCCTACACAACTAAAGCTGATCTCTGGAGGAAGGGTGATAGAACAAAACACCAGCCTTAACTCACAGGGTATAAAGGTAAGGAGAGAAGAATACATATTACCATTTACACATTCAAACGTTACTATTTAAGTTACGTTTATTTAATAGATTTTGAAGGCTTTGGTTTATGCTTCAAGCTGCTTAACTGAATAGGACTGCTTCAGAATAAAATGCAACTGAGTCAACTAGTTTAAAATGTTGTAAGTCATGACATATGTTTACTATTCTGTAAAATTATTATTAAAGCTTACCTTATATTGCTATATTGACACAAATTGTTGGTGTCTAATTAATCTATTTTAAAGCTTTATGGGAGTCCAACACTTTTTTATAATTAATGAATTACTAGTACAATCACAACTCAATCTAACATGACAATTTGTGGGTTTGTGTGTAATTTCGAAAATGTAACATTATTTTGTGCATTAAAAATATTTACTATTTGACACGCAGAATGGCAGTGATATTATGGCTATGTTTATTTCAACAACGGATGCAAAGTTGGCTGAAAAAGAAGCAGAGATAGCAGAAATTGAGAAAACCCGATGGGCTGCTGAGATTTTGTCATCTCGTGCTGATGGTTAGGAATGATTCACTTTCCCTTTCATAATTTCCATTTTCAGAAAAATTCCAGTCCTAATTATGTCTGCTTAGATATTTTAAAAATAAACATTTCCAATTAATTCATATTTTACTTACTGATTTGATTGATATCAGTTTACATAATGGTAATAGTTTAC